CGCTCTGCCTGATCCTTCTGCTGCCATTTTTGCTGGCCACAAATCCACCAATTAATTATCCTCCTGCAAATCGGGGGAAAGTGCCAAAACCCGTGCCTCAAAACGGTGAAAGAGTGGGGTCACGCACCCTAGAAAGTCTAAAGGGACTGGGATAAATATTGCAAATTCCAAGTTATGTATTCAATTATAAGACTATAAAGTGTTTTAATATAGGATTACTAGAATTTAAGAACATGGCAAAATATGTAAACCAAAAACTACGGGAAATAATAATTAATTAAATAAAAATAAGAATGTTCATAAAGTAATGCTTTTATTTTATTTTATTTATTAAAGAAAAAATTTAATTTGTAATTCATGGAGTTCTATCTAACTCCTCTTTTTTATTTTAGTGTGCAATTTGTACCATTCTAAATAAATCTTCTAAGCTTAAACAAATGTAAACAATCCAATATTTTCTAAATAGATTTTCTGCAAAATGTTCGACTGACACCTCGAGTGTACCTTTCGAGGACTTTGTTTTGCATATGACATAGATTGCAGCTCCTGACAATTCACACACTTCTATGCATATTCCAAGTAGTTTATGGAGCTCATGCATATTTATAATGCCAGCTGCACCCTGTCCTACGACAACCGGAAAGAAGTTGTGGTATAAAAAACCCCTTTCAAACTGAACAAATCGGATCGAAGCGCATTGCATCGTTCATTGACAGTCGCAGCAATATTAATTGCTTCGCGTTTTGTTACTGCTTTTTCTTATCCGGTTTACGGCGAATTGACTTTATCAACTTCCCGGAGAGCCAGATTCTCAGACTCGTTGGCAAAACTCAATTAGCTCTCTTAAGCTCATTTGAAGGGGCCCAATTTTATTTGGCAAATGTTGTTTTAATTAAGTCAAAGCATTCGGGTTAACCGAATGAAAGCAGCTTCCGTAAAATCATTACAAAATAGGTAAGAATATTTCAAAGTCTTGCGACTTTAGGATGCCCACTACTTAATTGTTTTTAAATTTTTTAAATTCAATGAAAGCTTTATTTTAATATAAAAAATATTTTAATATATAAACCAATTTTAACTTGCTAAGAAAGTTAAGAAAATTAAGATTTTTAAAGCACTCACTATAATTTAGTTAATCATTTAAACAAAAGGATAAACGGATAGAGTCCACCGAAGTTCCTAAGCCAGATCACGAATATGTCTGTGGGGGAACAATATACTCTGTAAGTACCGGGTAAAAAACTGCAAAAGGTACAATGAAAAAAAACAGAAAAGAGAAAAAATAAAACCAACCTGTGAATGAAAAAATCGACAAGAAAAACCAGAATGAGAGCAACCAAATGCCAAACAAACGGCACACGTTGTTCTGTTTTTCCCCTCGCTCCCTTCGTCACACATTCGCCTGCAACAAAGCCAAGTAAGTCGTATTAAATTTAATTGGATTTGAGTGTTTACCAGCGTCCCAAGCCGACGGCAAAGCCACAGGCAGCAGCTAAAGCTGCTGGCAAAAATGCGTTCTACTTTTGGTTTTTTTTGTGTTCGAGCACAGAACATATTTTTCATTATTCTTTAAAACAATTTCAATTTTTTTTTGATGTTAATTAAAATTTGCTTCCCATCTCTGTAGATATTTTTCATTTTAAATTACGAAATATATTTCGAAAATGTTAAAAACAAATATATTTATATTATAGCTCGTACCCAAAAATAGTCTTAACAAAATAAGTTGAACTGCATTTGGTTTCTGTGTACTTTTGCGTCAGTGTGAGTTGCATTGTCGCTGGCCATGTGTGTATGTGTTGGGTTGTTGAGTGGCTGCAAAAATTTCATACATTTCGCAGGTAGAGAAAGCGGCTTAAGCCGGATTTTATAGACATACAGCCGCAGTGGAACACACACCCGGAGAAAGTGCAATAAAAAACTACAAATATTGCGTATCCGCCCAGGGGCCACAGCAGCACGTGGCAGTTGCTAACGCAACGCTTTCATTTGCAGAGAGCAAAAGACCAATTAGCGGGGTACATATGTATATATGTGTAACACACACATACAAAAACACCTGCAGCTTTATTTGTATTGGTGTCATCTGTTCAGGAGTATAGCATACTTTTCGGTGGCCATTTACAGCGAAAAAGTTTTAGATGTCTCCTGTTCGTTGTTAATATAGAAACTATTAGTGTTTCACATTTGATTATCGCTCTATCAGTTTAATTACAAAACATGTATTCTATTTTGTGGTTGATTTTGAGTTGCCTAATGGAAGTTGTTATTTATGGTCATTTCATTTATAGATGTAAACGAAAAAAGCTTTAATAACGTTTTGATTATTTTTCCATTACTCTTTGCCATCTTCTAAATTATAATGATATATGTTTGCAAAGCATATTACATAACTAACTTATTTAAAATATAATTGCAATCATCAATTTTTCAGTCAAAAATTGTAAGCTGAATTGAAAGGAGTAAATTTAATTATAGTTTGCAGCTTATTCTCCGACATATTCGCTGGCTGGCTTCAAGTGCAGACCCGCCATTGGTTGGCTTAAATGTTAGCATGCAAATATGATAAATCACCGCCATTATTGGGCCATCAATCAAAATTATGCGTCCCTTGTAGTCAGTGCTCTTCCCGCCGCCCTTTCTCTTCGGCACTCGCTGTTTGTGTGCCAAGTGTCTAATTGAATAACGAAGCGTGCAAATTGAGGCGCCTCCCTGCCACGCCCCCTTTGTCTGCGAGGAGGAAAAACCAGAGGAGTGATTCAGGATCCCGGCGGCAGTTAACAACACATCCGTAGAGATTTATAGAGACAGACAGGCAGACGAACGGAGAGGGCGACACTTTCAATGTCTGCGGTTTGTCCCGTCGGCGGACTCACAGCTGGTTCTCCTTTGGGCCAAAACTTACTTGCCAACTCGCCCCAATCCTCAATCCTGAATCCCGGATAGCTCACACATTAACATAGTTTTTTAGCATCAGGTATGCAAATGCCGCCGGAGGTTTGCCAGGTTGCACCTAGTGGTATCCACTTGGATAACCCCCCACATTCTTTATCCAGACTGACAAGCCACCGCAACAGAGAATTTAGTACACTGGGAATAATACAATATTTATTTATAAATTTAACATTTTAAATGTTATTTATTTATTAAATATTAACTAAGACACATTTCTTACGAAGAAAAGTCTTGAAAATATTTTTCAAGGAAAAATGATCATGTCCAAAAGTAAATTTAGCTTTTAATGAAAGTTAAAGAAAAATAGTATGAAGTATGGGCACTTTTAGTGAAATATTTAATTGATTTTGTAAACTTTACTATCATCTATAATAAATAAAAAAATTAATAAAAATTTAAATGATTTTAAATCTCTTAGAATTGCTTTAGTAAATTTATTTTTGAGTGTAAAATCTAAAGGTGATATCGCTGTTACATGTTCCACGTTGGTTTTTAATCCCTTTGCATTTGATTGTATGCAGTTGTTTGCAAAAAGTAATTTAGTTCGGCAAGCGTCATTCTCCCTCTTTCTCTTATTTTCTTGCCTCCGTTCTTTGTCCTTTTTTGCTGCTGTTTAATTTGCAGCATGTCAAAAAAGTAACTGTACAAGTAACATTGTGTGTTTGTGTCTTTGTGTGCATATAATTATTGCATTTCTCGCACGTTCCGGTACAGTACGAAACTACTATATATATACATATGTACATATCCTATAGGATAGGACCTCGAGTCTGTTTGCCTTGCAGTTGGCAAATGGCACATTTTCCGCTTTTCCCACTGCCTTTCATTATGCTTCGCTTCTTTTCTCTTTGTTTTGCTGTAAGTATTTTTTAATGATACATAAACTAAAAAGATACACACATTCGCCGGTTGTGCTGGCAACTCGTCTAAATTATTTACACATCCGTTTTGCATTTTCCGAGTTTGTTTGCGCCACGCATGGCCTGCACTCGAAGCATTTCCACTTGGCATTTTCTTTTTTTTTCGCCCCGCTTTTGGTCGCATTGTTTCCTCATTTGCAGCTCAACACTTTCTGTGTCATCGTGGTGGCTGTCTGCGGTGGGTGGTGCCTTTGGTGGGTCAATGGGTGGTGTGGCCCCAAGCACTAACCTCCTTTTCCGCAGCCGCCTAGTGCCACTGCCACATAATTAATGCATTTTTTCATTTTTATTTTAGCATTGAGTGGGTTTCCGGTTTAGCCATAAATGAGGTCCAGATCCTGTCATTAATTTTCCAATTCTCATAGATGTAAATGTTTTTATTTTAATGAGTTCAATTCCAATCATGAACCTTTTTCATTTACACAAATATCATTTATTAAAAAAAATAAAATCATTTTTGAGGCTTATAAAATATATTTTTCGATCTCTGATTATTACTTAGGGATTTCTTTAATTTAAGTCTTAAAATCCTCAAATCTAAAAATAAAGTTTATTGCATTTTAAAATTAAAAAAAAAAATTTTATGGTTGTTCCCATTGGAACATTGGAAAAATGCAGCGCAAAATCGACTTAGCTTCATTGTTTTTAGTAACATATGCATAGAAATCGAAATGTAGTCGATTTGTAATAACTGCAAGGATATATAAACTTCTGCTTGCCGGAGTTTGCTTCCTTTCTTGATGAAAATGAAAAAGAAGATAATACAAAGTTCCTTGAGCTAAGATAGTAGAACAGGGAAATATGGAGGGCTGTTCGCTGTTGAACTTCTGGAAAAAGAATATATTTTTGGAGAATACGTGTTCTAAAACACATTTTCTATCAGTAAAAACGCCAGCGGAGTTGTTTTTAATAAATTACGCTTAAATTGATTATGATGATAATGATTAATACAATAAAACACTATTTTAGCACGGAATTTTGTAAGAGTCTTTTTTTGGGAATTGAAAGTACATTTATTCTACTGTTGCTTATCTATTGTTATTATAGAGAGATGGGTTTTTCTAGCACTAAATTTTTTATAGAGAGAACGAAATTGCTTAGCTCTTTCCCAAATCTGTATACATAATCGCGATGTCAGTGCCCTGTCTATTGTCTCACCGTCAAGATGTGGAGAACTCTATCCGCGATCGTCTTTCTCGTGGCGATCGTTAATCCGCTGGCGGAGACGAGACGCCTCCGCCTGCGCAGTTCTGACCAACTTCAACTGGATGAATACCTCGATTACAACGGGGTGATGCAGTATCTGGATCACCTGGCACGAGCATACCCCGATCGGATTACACTAAAGAACGTGGGTCGAACGTACGAAAATCGTTCCCTTAAACTCGCCATGGTAACAAACGGAGATGGGCGTCTGGGAAAGAGGGTGATATTCATGGATGCCGCTCTGCACGCCCGCGAATGGATGACCCCCGTGGCCGCCCTCTATACCATCTATAAGTTGGTGGTGGAGTTCGAGGAAAATGCCGATCTTCTCGCCGATTTCGATTGGCACATTATGCCACTGGCGAATCCGGATGGTTACGAGTACTCTCGCAAAACGAATACTAGGTGGATGAAAACGAGGACACCGAATGGCGGCAACTGCAACGGCACCGATCTCGACAGGAATTTTGAAGTGGGCTTTGGACTCGGTTTTCCGGATTTAAGAGGTCCTTGCGATCACAATTTTGCGGGCAGGGCACCATTCTCAGAGGTGGAGTCACGTACAGTGCGCGACATAATGCACAGTCTGATGAAAAGTGAGCGAGGCGTTATGTATCTTTCCCTGCACTCGCCAATCCGGAGGGTTATCTATCCTTGGGTCTATGACAGGTGAGTTGCATGGTATAAATTGATTAATTATTTAAAATTTAAACTTCTTATTCCCTCCGAAATATGAAGATTACGTTTAAATAATGTTTAATTAACTGATTAGCATAACGGAACTCGCAGGTCAGCATACCACAGATAAGAGCTCTTTAATCAGTGGTGTGACCAAAATCTTTTCGAAATAAATTCAGTTGCAAATTGTTTGATGTTCGCTTCAAAGTCGGAAGAGATTTCCGCCTAACAAAGGAATACCTATTAACTTTTGTTTTTTTTAGTACACCGGTGCCAAATCATGGGGAACACATTGAAATTGCCAAGTTCGTGGCCGATCAAATATTTCAAAGTACTGGCACGGTTATAAAGACTTTGCAGGGTGTTCAATATGGAGAATTCGGCGGTAGTAGCATCGATTACGCCTTTTACGTTGGATTTCCCTTATCCTTTGCCTTCGAGATGTCGGGAATGGACCATAATCACGTGGATTACAAGTTTTTTCCACCAACCTGGGAGATTCGCCGCCTAGCTGATGAATCGTGGACAGGTATTCGAGCCTTTGGCAAGAAGGCCATTGAAAAATATCCGCCCTCCAGGGCAATACATCAGTCCGAGGACAGACTTAGCAATCCCTCACGTGGTGAGGGATACGCTGCTTTTTAACCATTTCACCAAAAATACTTTAAAATGTCACAAAACTGAATTCTCCCCTTAAATCTTTCTTAATTCTTAGCTCTAAATAAACTGAATTAAGGTTCTAGTTTGAAATGTGTGGGAGAAAATATACGTATATGAAGTCAAATTGTTGTGCAACACAAATCTACTTTTTATACTCTTGCAGAGGATATTATAGTTTCAGTCAAAAGTTGCAACGCAGTGAAGGAGACATTTCCGACCCTATAAAGTATATATATTCTTGATCAGCATCACCAGGAGAGTCGACCAAGCCATGTTCTTTTGTTCTTTGGGATTTGGTAATATTTAAATATAAAATATTATCATATAGCTTCCTTAGGAATGATTGCAAAATGAAGCGCAAAATCGACATAGCTTCATTGTTTTTAGTAATACAGGCATAGAAATCGAAATGTAGTAGATTTGTAACAACTTCAAGGGTATATAAGCTTCGGCTTGTCGAAGTTTGCTTTCCTTCTTGTTTTTCTCTTTCCTCAATTAAACAATGTAATTTCCGCCTAATGCAGATTTCCAAAACTCAATTTAATTTTTTCTTTCAACGCGTGCTTGACTAATTAAAACCACAACCGAAAACCCACACTTCATGGCCAAAACCAAATTACAAACCAAAAACTCCAGGCGCACAATTACGGAGTGAGAGTCGTTCAAATTCTTGATGGGAAAAGGGGTAAGGAACTTGGTCAAGAAGTCTTGCAAACACTTCTGGCCTAACAAATTGTTTTCGCTGTCGTATTTCAACTGTTTTGGGTTCTAATCCTGTTCCTGTTTTCGCTGTTGTTGTTGCTGCTCCACCGGTTTGTTGCAGATAAAAATGCCGGGCAATTGTTACGTTAGGCGCACAAAACTAACTAACGGCCACACCAACTCAGACAATGGCTTTAATTTAACTGTCGGAAGTGAGGCACAATGCAAAATACGAGTTGAACTTACAAGCAATTTGCCTTATGCACGGCGCCCAGGAAAACGGGGAAAAACTGAGTTTGGGCGGCTGGGTTACGCCCATTTCTCACTCAAACTGAAGGCGACGTTTACGTATAGAAATACAGGGGCAATAAGCTTGGAAGATATTATTATTTATATTTGAAATAAATTTTTTTTCACCAACATAATACAAAATTGTTTTTGATTTTTACTTTAAAAAGATTGAAAGTTTCTTAATATTTAATATATAAAGATTAAAGACAAAAACTAGCTAATGATAAAAAAAGTAAACAAATTTTAATATTTATGATTTCTCATACATCATTCATTGTTGATACAAAAAAATAAATAAGTTAGGTTTTAGTATTCGGCACTAATGTAGAATTAAAAAAAAATTTTTTAAATAAACATTCACAAGATTAGTGGCTTAGAGTTAGGGCTGTGCTCAAATCAAAAGATTATTTATAACAACAAATGAACTATTCTCACAGACCGAAAAAAGAATACAATTAATATGATTACTTTTTTTTGGTATTTTTAAAATTCTATTTTATTTATTCACAATGGTATTTACTGTACCTCTATGCACTTTGTGCACATAAATCTAAGCCAACAAAAACTTGGCTGAATCGCAGGTCCGTTGCACGCACATAGAAAAAGTGGACGGGGGCTAAAAGTTGGCGTTGGCGGATCAGGAGAAGCTATATCTGCAGTTGTGCTGAGTTGCTCGTTGGCACTATTTTTTTTCGCCATTCGACTTTGCCTTCGGTATGTTCATTATTTTTATCTCTCTCGCAATGAATGCAAAACTACCAAACGAAACAAAAACAGCAACAGAACGGCAAACTAAGGACGCAGGAGCAGAGACTTCGGACTGCGGACCAAGGATCAAGCACACAAATATGCAAAACAGTTGGAGGATTCATGGCGCTCAAAATCTAGGCGTAAAGTGTGAATAACGCGTGGAAAATGTGAATGAGCCGAAGGCGCTTTTCAGCTGGAGCCCAAAGAAAATCCTGTCGAGAATGGGCAATGCAATCAGCGGAATTGTAATTTGGCCCAAAAGTGGGCAAGTTTTAGCTCCGCAATTTGCGGTTTTTCCAGGCTGAAGACAAAGAAGAAATGTAGCCGTGAAAAAACGAATCCTGGAAGTAAACAACTTCCGTTGGATAATGGAAAATGCCCTGCGGATCGGTCCTTTGAAACATTGCACAGAAAAAATGTATTTCTAATTTAATAAGTACATAGAAATATGTATGATAGCTATTATAAATATTTATAAAAAATGTGCAAAGGAGTGTTTATAATATAGATATTCTTTGTTTACTCTAACAATATATTTAATTAGTTTACTACATTGATCAATTCAAATATTTAAAATCTTAAAATAAGTATTAGTTTTTAAATCGTTTTTGCATTTGTTTTATATTTAAAAAATGGTTTGCGAGAGAACAATAAATCAATTAGGTTTAACAGAAAAAAATATTCAAATGTCGGTTATTTATTTTATTTATTTTCCTGTGCAGTTTGGGTTCTCCTTCTCTTCATCATCACGAAGATTTCCTTCATCCTTGACGGCAGCGATGTCATGTTAAATGCGCTGCAAAATTGCATTAACTACGCACGCTTGTCACTTTCTGATAAGGGAATTAAATTTTGCGGTTTTATGCTGGCGGCAGCACACAAACCAAGCTGAAGCCCTTCGGTCTGCGTCCTTTCCCGCCAATCCCCATGATTTCCCTTCTGGCATTGGCCGTGTTTATGGCCAGCATGTCAGCGGAGCTGTCAACACTGAAAGCGACACATGGCCATAACCATCGGAGTCGTCATCCCTCCCGAAGCTTGAATACAATTTTCTCGGCTTGGCTGGCTGGAACAGAAAGATTTTGTGGCATACTTTGCGGATGAGGGTCCTTAATAATTCGATGCTTTTGATTTGAAGTTTTCTTTGTTTAGATTAATACGATAATTTAAAACAATCTTTATTTAAATGGTGTAATAATTTGTATAGGCATTTATAAATAAATAATATATATATAAACCACATCACAATATAAATTATATTTTATGGCTATGAAAAGTAGAATTTAAAAATGCTTCATCGAAGTTCTATCTCCAAATAAAATATACAATAAACATTCTATGCTGATTCAGCAGCACCGATACGATTATTTTTTTCCAATAAAATAGATATAATTAAGTATTAGGTTAACTTAAAAATAATATTATATTCCGGCTGAAAGTCTTTGGCCATAGCTACGAATCACTCCTGTAAATTACACTGTAAATATATTAATAGGCTTACAAAAATTATATACGCTTAAAGGTCTTTACAGTCTTAAAATAAATTGAAGCCATGGATCTTTACTTATTGAGATGTGGCAAGCTCTGCCAACAGCAAACGCAATGAGGCCATCGAATGGCATTTACATGGCAATTGCAACAGCAGTGCCAATTCCGATTTCCCGTCCAAGCAGATTTACATAGAAACGCAATTGCGCAAGTTGGTCGACGGTGAGTGGATAATTACCGCAGAACAGGCGCTATATATAGGAAAACCGCATCGTTCCGGTCTCTGGAATAAGTGGGCCATAAAGTAAACTTTTTTCCACACGCCGTCCGGAAAAGTTGTGCCAGTGCGGAATTAATGTGCATATGGCACGCACAAATGTCAAAGGAAAGGGTGAGGAGATATAAAATGAAAAATAGTTGGGCATGGGATACCAAAAGGAATCTATTCCAAAGACATTTAAAAAAGGCGTTGCTGCACTGCGCCAAACTTTAATGATATTTTGATTAATTTGATTAATTGCCGTGGCTCATAAATCATTAAATTCGGTATGCGGCATATTATTGGTTACACACACGCAGACACATCAAGGATATCAAGGTTTTCCCCCGAGCCTGACCCGAAGAAATCTGCTCGGTGGGACACCGCTTGACAAATGGCATTTTGTTGCCTTGGCATGCCGCTGAGCTTGGGCTAAATATTTTCGTAATTACATTTCCACGTCGAGTAATTAATTTTGTCTCGCCTTGGCTGGCCTCCCCATTCCCAGTCCCTCAGTTTTCCCCCGATTTCCCGATTTTCCCCTTCTCAAGCTGTTGACATTTGCCATTATGTGTTGCATACTTTTGTGCGCTTTTTGCTTTCTTCGAGTGTCACAGAGCGTTTCCTTGGGATTAGTTGCAGCCCTCGCATTATTATTATTATTATTATTATGTTTTAGTATTTTATGGGCCATCTTGTCACACTTTTCATGTAATTTTCCCAACTTAAATCTGTTTTATTGCCTGCTTTCAGGTTTGGTCTTTGGGGACCGCACACGTAGACCCGGTCACATAAAAACTTTTCTGGCTACTTAAGCCGTTGGCAAGCCGAAATTGTGGCCTAAATTATGCATCAAGGTGGCCGTAAAAACGGACAACCATCTGGGGCATGTCAAACGGGGCGTATGAGTAATTAAGCATGAAACAGTGGATCAGCATTAGGGTTAAAGTAGTTGGGATAAGATATTTAATACATACATAAGGCAAGTCCATTTAATAAGTTTTCTTTTATTTGCAAGCCTGTGGCTTCAAAATTATAAAGATAAGAGAGTACCAAAAAATTACTGCAATAAGGATAACTTTGAAGTCTGTAGAATGAATTCATTAAAAAATAATATAATAAAAAAATACTAATAATAACAATATTTATATTGCAAAAAGAAAAACCATTTCCAACGCTTACGATTTTATGAAATGTTATACCAAAATATATAAATAAAACTATGTTGAGAACCTCACTTTTTATACCCTTGCAGAGGGTATTATAATTTTGGTCAAAAGTGTGCAACGCAGTGAAGGAGACATCTCCGACCCTATGAAGTATGTATATTCTTGATCAGGATCACCTCCTGAGTTGATATAGCCATGTCCGTCTGTCCGTCTGTCTGTCCGTCTGTCTGTTTCTACGCAAACTAGTCTCTCAGTTTTAAAGCTATCGAATTGAAACTTTGCACACACCCGTCTTTCCTTTGCACGCAGTATATATGTCGGAACGGCCGGGATCGGC